AGTCCTGTCTGCACATTGGGTTCGTTCCTGTCCACAAAATCCTGACAATATCAAGTTACAAAACACTGAATTTTAGCTGTAATTCACTGAATGAGCTGCTTCTGCTACAAAACCTGTCAGAAGACTGAAAGTTGTTTGTTTGTTTGTTTGGGTTCAGCTGCTGAACGCAACACTTATATGATCACATGTCACTATGTTACGAATCATCGACAAAAGATGGTAAGAACAAAATATGGCTGCTAACAGAATTAACAGCTAAGATTGTTTTTGATTAAAAAAAAAAACTAATAAAAGTAGAAATAAAGGAAAAGCTCTGTTTTATGAAAAGGCATAAATATGTTACAATTAAATATACACTGGACTTCACTCTGACAAGGTGTTTATATTTACACTGCATTACTTTCAGCAAAACATTGAAAAGACTCATATGAAATAGGCTTGCATCATTTAGTGTTTAAATTTGATCAGAATGAGTGTACACCATAATTATTCTTGTCTATTAATTTCTTTTTTCTTTTACCTTTACCAAATACTAATGCATGTCAGTAACGTTAGGTGAAGCCTTGAAGAAATTACTTTTTTATCATATTGTATTTATATACCAATAATTTGAGTTTATGTCAATCTTTAGATGGTTTTGAGGATCTAGACACATTTTATTTATTAGAAAAAGGTGAAGAAATGGCTTTTGTATAATAAAGGTGTGGAAAGTTGTAGAGGTCAACCCTTGCTTTAGGGAAGATTCATTAAAATCTATTGTTATTTACAATATAATATTTTGCTAATTGTACAGACAAACACAGAAACAAGAGATGGCTGTTTATAGACTTTTTAAAGTGTCCTTTAACAAAGGATCATGTAAAAGCCTCGTCCCTTCTCTTTCTCTAGTTTGTATTTAGAGTTGTGCTGAGCAGCAGTCCACCAGGCATTCTGAACGTCTGTCAAAGTTTGGACTTGGACAGATGTTTTCACCTCCTGTTGGTTTTAGTGCTGCAGAGAACACAGTCTGAGCTGCACATTTGAAGGACATGTGGAGAACACAGTCTTCCCTGAACTGCTGCATGTTTACAGCCAGTAATCTGTTTATCTCCAGCATGTGACTTTATGGTTTGACACTGAGCGAGTAACGGGAACTCAACTCAACACAAACCACTTCCTGTCTTTCAGTAGGAAGATGGTCACATTTTCTGCAAAGTGCACCGATGAGACCAATGGATGAAAGTGTGTCGTTAGCAGGAAAGGTCACCCCTGCTTCATTAATCACTCCAGCAGCAGGCTCTGATAAAACATGTATAATGGGATTAGTGAAATGCTTTTTTTGAGCCTGTTGTTTTATATTTTAGCTCCTGGACCTGCCAGCTGTGATGGATGGAGACCGATTTTAAAGAGCTGTTTAACAGCAGACAGCATGCAGAAGTGTTTGTCATGATACAGATCTAAAAGGCCATTTTAAAAACAATTTGACATTTAATGAGGTATCTGTAGTATGTCAGGACAGCTTTGCTGTGGACACACTACTAATTAATTATTCTTAAAGCTAGTTCAAGCACAAAGAATATTAATCGTTTAATTACAATGGATTCTTTTCTTTTTTGAGTTAAATTTCTGTTATGTGACCAAGATAACTTGTGAGTGGTTTAATCAGTGACATGAGACGCCATTTTATCTTTGACCCATCAGAATAAATGCGGTCATTTATTTAACAGAATCAAAATTTAACATCAAAACATGTACACATTGATTTGCTGATCTGTTTCTGATTAATAAACTTGGCACGCTTTACTAACAAGACAACAGAACATTACTGATTGAGACTGATTCATCTCTGAAGGCATCTAGATTACTGGCGAATAGAGAGTTTAAGAGAGGAGGAATAGATTTAAGGAGGAAGTTTAAGATGTGGAGTTATGTGTTGAACCAGAACATTGCACCCTTCCTCCGACATCCAGCTCAGCTCTCCGGTACACTTCAGGACGTGCAGCGACTTTGTTACCTTAGCAGAGGATGTATCCACTCCTGAACAGAAGTCCATTGGTACGCTCCCTTTTCAGCGTCTCCGGTTAGAGTAGCTGGGGGTCATCAGAAATCGTGACGAAGTACTCGGTTCAACCGAATAAGCTTCCTTAGGAGTTGAGCTTTTAGTGCTCGGGTTGAGTCACAGCCGAGGCAGGCTGTGACAACGCTGGACTGGAGAGACCTTTGGCACATGGTCAAATCCATCTGCTACTTAGTTGAGTCTCATCTCCAACTGAAAGTTCCAGCAAGACTACAAGACTAAGACTCGTGAAGACTAAGACTTAAGACTGAATAGTTCCAAGAAGTGTTGCCTTTTAAAGGGGTATCCACTTCCTGTTACGTGGTACTTCCTTATACTTACCAGGTATTGAAGTACTGGTATGTACCTGGTACTTATAAGGCCTGTGTTTGCCATTTTTGTGTTTGCTAAGCTCATTTAGCTGTGGTGGCCATCTTGAATAATGCTCAGTTCAATTCATTATATTTATATAGTGCCATATAACAACAAAGTTGTGTCAGGGCACTTTACAGGAACACACAGAAAATCCATCCATCCATCCATCCATCCATCCATCCATTATCTTTACCCGTTTATTCCATTTTGGGTCACGGGGGTCGCTGGTGCCCATGTCCAGCAATCACTGTGCGAGGGGCGGGGTACACCCTGGACGGGTCGCAAGTCCATCACAGGGACACATAGAGACAAACGAGACAAACAAACATTCACTCTCTCACTCACACCTAGGGACAATTTAGAGTTACCAATCAGTCTAACATGCATGTTTTTGGTCTGTGGGAGGAAACCGGAGTACCCGAAGAAAACCCACGCATGCATGGAGAGAACATGCAAACTCCACCCAGAAAGGCCCCTGGACCGGGGGTTGAACCAGGGACCTGCTCGCTGAGAGGCAGCAGCTCTACCAGCTGCGCCACCGTGCTGCCCCACAGAAAATCCAGTTAGTAAAGTTCTCTGTCTAACGAAGGACCCAAATAAAAATGAGCTGTGGATCCAATGAGTTTCTTTAAACACTGACCACAAGATGGTCACAAAATATTTGGCTAACAGACATTTTATAAATTATGTACAGTAGTTTGGCAAGAGTGAAGCGAAAATTAGGGGAAAAGGGACCCCCCCCCCCCCCCACACACACACACACACCACATTGGTTTCGATCTTGCTAATGGGCATCAGTCTAAAGTTGGTGCAGTTAATTATTTTATTACCAATATAATTTTAATATAATATAATTCCTTGGCTCACGTGGCGCCAGCGCACCTGTCACGCTCTTGCCGGGGTCTGTCTCTCCCCCCTCAACCGGTCTTTGACTCGTCTGTCGCAACAGAACTCGCCATTCATGTTTCTGCTTTCTCATTGGTCGGACGGCCTGTCTGTCAAATGCTCCTGCTTTGGGATTGGTCTTGTCCCGAAGCCGCGTCTCTTCCGCCCGTACCTGTCTCGCTGTGAGAGGCCGCCAGCTCTTCCTGGTCCTCCCGCAGCTCCCGCCCCTTCATTCAGCTCCAAGGAAGGAAGGAGGAACTCCTGCAGCCGCGTGTGTCGCTTGTGCCGCAGAGTCGAGCCGCGATGTGTCTCCCTGGAATTGTCTAATTTCGCTCGCTGTCGGCGGGAAAAGCTCAGACGGTTTGTTAGCCCGGGGCTGCTCTGGGGGCGCAGTGAAGGTGGTGCAAGTGGTCTCGGAAGTGGAGCGTGGCAGAGAAAAGGAAGACGGAGAGGGGGGGTTTCTCAGAGAGCTCACTCGCGTTGCTTCGTTGCCACTACGGGATTGACGTATAAGAACATGGCGGAGCATCACCCGGCTTCCGACAACAAACACAAGTCCTCGCTGAACTCCACGGCCTCGTACTCGGGGAACGGGCGGAGCAGCACGGCGGCAGCGGAGAGAGGCAGCGGCGCTGCCGGGGCAGGGGGTCTGTCTGTGGGCCTGTCGCAGCCGGCCGGCTGGCAGTCCCTGCTGTCCTTCACCATCCTGTTCCTGGCCTGGCTGGCCGGCTTCAGCTCCAGACTCTTCGCTGTCATCCGCTTCGAGAGCATCATCCACGAGTTCGACCCCTGGTAAGTTTGTGTCCTCCCTCCCACACCCAGCGGCTCCAACTTCTGCCGCGCTGTGAACGATGGGAACACTGGTGAAAACATGTCACGGTTAGAAGTTCGGTGTCACAGCTCATTGGCACTGTGGCAGCTGTGGTTGGAGCAGTCGTCCTCCAACGGGAGAGTTGGGGGTTTGATTCCACCAGCACATGAAGTGTCCCTGGGCAAGACGCTGAACCCTCATGGCCTCTCGTGTGTCCCATCAGTGTATGAATGTGATCTAAAGCTCTGATTCTAGATCTAGTAGAGTGCTGTATGAATGTGATCTAAAGCTCTGATTCTAGATCTAGTAGAGTGCTGTATGAATGTGATCTAAAGTTCTGATTCTAGATCTAGTAGAGTGCTGTATGAATGTGATCTAAAGCTCTGATTCTAGATCTAGTAGAGTGCTGTATGAATGTGATCTAAAGCTCTGATTCTAGATCTAGTAGAGTGCTGTATGAATGTGATCTAAAGCTCTGATTCTAGATCTAGAATCAGAGCTTTAGATCACATTCATACAGCACTCTAC